GCTGAAACAAGACAGGACTATGTAGCACTTGAAAGACTAACAAGATGGTTTCTTAGGTGATGAGCTATCGTGGGCCAGACCCACTTCCTCAGATCAAATAGTGGAAGAAAATTGGCACAAGCATATATACCAAGGATACTAGAAGGGGACAGATGCACACAGACGCACACACACGGGTTCTAATGGCAAGAAATCTGCAGGGGGGAATGTTGCATTAAACCCAGGGCATTTCTTGGCGCGCAAAATTAGGCAGGTTCTGAGAATCGTGACGGTAGCGTCAGCTGTCGAGAGAGCCCCTTGATCGGCCCCCAGCAGTGCGGCGTAGACGCAGTCTCCATCGCACCCTCCGCTGCTAGGAGAGCCACTGTGGGCGCGAAGCAGATGTCAGGATAATCATTTTCATAACACCTGCATGACCCACGGACACGTTGGTGCCAGCTGGCCATGGGCACAGGGATTGCATGAGGTTTAATAGGGATCCCTGGGTTGGATAGCTGCATAATAGTTCCCCCAGTTGTGGCATCCGAGGTCTCCCCTTTCCCGCCGGTCGTTATAATCATTAAGGAATTCAGTCTGAACATGATGCTCCCGAGCGTTCTGTCCAGGCAGGAAATATCTGACCCTTCCCTCCTTGCGTGGCCACTTGTGGATCGGATTTGCCTATGGGCCCAGCGGCTGTGCCATCCACAAGAGAGGCAATCTGTTGGAAGAACCAAAGAGCCGGGCGCGTCCCGTTTGTCAGTAAAGTCATCACAGGGCTAGGGACACTCTTCCTACCCAGCCTGGCGAATAGCCATTAATGGACCCAACCTCTGTGAATCTATCTAGTTCTTTTTTGGATCCTGTTAAAGTCCTGGTCTTCACAACATCCTCTGGCAAGGAGTTCCACAGGTTGGCTGTGCGCGAAGTGAAGAAAAACTTCCTTTTGTTTGTTTAAAACCGGCTCCCTATTAATATCATTTGGTGACCCCTAGTTCTCATGTTATGGGAACAAGTAAATAACGTTTCCTTATTCACTTTTTCTACACCAGTCATGATTTTACAGACCTCGATCATTTCCCCGATTAGTCTCCTCTTTTCTAAGCTGAAAAGTCTGTCTTTTTAATCTCTCTTCATGTGGGACCTGTTCCAAACCCCTCATCATTTGTGTTGCTCTTTTCTGAACCTTTTCCAATGCCAATGTATCTTTTTCGAGATGAGACAACCACATCTGGACACAGTCTTCAAGATGTTGGGGTTTTATACGGAAGCAATAAGACGTTCTCGGTCTTATTCTCTTTTGTAATGATCCCTAACGTTCTGTTGGCTGTTTTGCCTGCCGCTGCGCCCGGAGTGGCTGTGTTCAGAGAACTCTCCTCAGTGACGCCAAGCTCTCGCTCTTGAGTCGTTGTAGCTAAATTAGTCCCCATCCTATTGTCGGTGCAGTTCTCTCGCTCTTGAGCCGTTGTAGCTAAATTAGTCCCCATCCTATTGTCGGTGCAGTTGGGATTATTGTTTTCCGTTAAAAGCATTTTCGGAAAAGAGCGTCTAGATTGGCCCTTTTTGTGGAAAAGCGTCCGTGCCAATCTAGATGCGCTTTTCCGCAAAAAAGCCCCGATCGCCATTTTTGCAATCGGGGCTTTTGGGCGGGAAACAAATCTCAGCTGTCTACACTGGCCCTTTTGCGCAAAACTTTTGCGGAAAAGGACTTTTGCCCGAACGGGAGCAGCATCGTATTTTCTCAAAAAGCTCTGATTTCTTACAGTAGGAAGTCAGTGCTTTTGCGGAAATTCAAGCAGCCAGTGTAGACAGCTGGCAAGTTTTTCCGGAAAAGCAGCTGATTTTCCGGAAAAACTGGCCAGTCTAGACACAGCCTTGCTGTTTCGTTGCCCAGTTACTCAGTTTGGTGAGATTTTTCTGAAGCTGTCCAGTCTGCTTGGGTCTTTACTATCCTGAGCAGTTTGGCATCCTCTGCAGAGCCAGCATGAGGGCAGACCCTCAGCCCAAGCGCCTCTCGAGAGATTTCAGGCTGGAGCTTCCCAGCTCCCCGCTAAGTGCAACCCCCCGGCGCCTCGAGGCTGCGGGGCAAGTCCTTCCCCCACTTCTCTCAGGGGCTGCGGGGGCCAAGGCTGCGCCAGGGAACCTGGGGAGGGAACCCTGCCAGGGTTAGCCCAGGAAGGTAGCGGGACGTTGTGGTTGCTCCGTGAGTTCTGGTTCTGGCTGGAGACAGACAATCCCGTTGCAAGCGTTGGCTGGCTAGTTGCTTACTGTCGCTTTGGCTCTCTCTCTGCCAAGGGAAGGGGCTTGCAGCCGTATCGCACTGCCGGAGACACCAGGCCGACCCTCACCTGCTCGGGCGCGGATCAAGGGAGGACAGAACTTAGCAGCAGCTCCTTGCCGATTCCCCGTCTGCCTGCCCCGTCCCACAGAAGGGGAAAGATCTGGCCCCGGAGAGTCCCCGAAGTTTGCACAGATGCCAGGGTCCCTTCTCCTCCCCGGGGCTCCCCAGCAGCCTGACTCCATCAGAACCGACACCGGGTGTTGCAACATTAAACCCTGATCCACCCTGCTTTGCCGAAAAGAGCCCCCCCACGCCGGAGCACACAGGGGCAGCCCCTCCCTGGCTGATGGCAGGGGACGGGAAATCTCACAGTCAGCCGTAAAGGGGGCACCTCTCACAGAACCTGCCCCTGGGGAAATCTGACCTTGCCCTTTGCTCCGAATGGGTTTCCAGGCTGCGGATGAGCATGCTCCAGGCATTGCTCCATGGGGGCTGCTTCTGGGTGCTGTTGGAAGCATCAGAACCAGACGGGACCCAATTTCCAGCTGCTGAGCTGAACTGGGTCATCAGCATCTCTCTGTACAGGTGACTGCTGGGGGCCGCCCATGCCATGTGTGTAGCTCAGCACCCGGCAGGGTTCCTAGCCCAGGGAGGACAGAGTCACCCAGTCTGAGCAGTCTTTGAATTCCTCCCCCTGCTCCGCAGGAGAGCCAACAGCCCCTTGGAAATGAGTCACCTTGGGCTGCGGAACTAGCAGGCGCCCAGCTCCGAGCCCAGCAGACCCCAAAGTCTCTTTGCAGTCCCAGCTATCCGGCCTGGGGACCTCATTCCCCCGCCCCGCCTCCCATGGATTTACATCGATTTTTGGGTGGGCGAAGCCGTGCAGGCCTGGACCAGGGGGAAACGAGTCACTTGCACTCCTCAGCAAAGCTGCAGGCTGGGGACTCCGCAGCGAAGGTCTGGGAGCGGCTGCAAACCTCACTTGCCCACAGCACGTGCCCCCCCCCCCACTCCCCGTCTGCCCCTTTGGGAGCTCAGATACCGGCTCCGCAGGGGAACCCGCAGGCCAAGGGAAATGCTTTGCGGCCAACGCGCGACATCAAACACCGCCACCTCCCT